GAGAAAATTGATGAACAACGGGAGGACAGTGACAGTAATATTCATTTAATCTTTGAAAAAAGGAACAAAAAATATAAAATAGAGCAAGATAAACCTCTTCAACAAGTGGGGCTGGGAAAATCTGTCAGCTACATGCAAATAAAATCAGACCCCTTTTTAACGCCATGCACAAGAATCAAATCAAAATGAATTAAAAATCCTGATATCAGGTCTGAAGCCACACTTTATATAGAGGAAAATATAGGAAGAACTCTTTATAACACTGAAACTAAAGGCATCCTAAGGGATGAAACACCACTAAAAACGCAAGTGGAAGCAAAAAATAAACCAATGGGACATTAAATTAAGAAGCTCTCTACCTCAAAAGGCAGGTAGAGATGGGAGCTCTCTATGGGAGAGCTCTCAGATGGGAAAAGTTACTTACACATCACCCATCTAATATCAAAGATACTTAAGGCACTGGTAGAACTTTACAAGAAAAAACATACAACCCCATCAAAAAATGTGAAGAGATGAAGAGAAACTTCCTCAAAAAAAGAAATACAAGTGGCCTACAGGCTTGTGAAAAACTGCACTGCATCAGTAATCATCAGGAAGATGTAAATCAAAACAACAACATGTTATCATCTCACCTCACAGACTGGCACACATCAAAAAGAATAAGAATACTATTGTTGGCATGAATGCAGGGAGAAAGGGACTGTTATTCACTGCTACTGGGAATGTCAACTGTTCCAGCCTTTCTAGAAAGCAGTATAGACATTCCTCAAAAAAAAAAACAAACTAGATTCCATTTGACCCAACAACTCCACTTCTAGGAATATAACCCACAGGCTCAGAAAGAAAAAATGGAGAAAAGATATTTGCACCCCTATGTTCCTTGCAGCACAACCCACAAGAGCCAAAATCTGGAAACGACCCAAGTGTCCAAGACTAGATGATTGGATAAAGAAACTACGGTACCTATACACAATGGACTACTACATGCTGCTCCAGGGAGGGACCTGGAGAATATCATCTGAATGAAGTTAGCCAGAGGGGGAGAGACTGACGCAGAAACGTAAACAAACGTAACAGTGGAATAATATTTGGGAATACCCAAAGACAGTGGAAATAAAGAACACAAGAACTGATATTCAGTAGGAAATATGCTACTGGGGGGGCCTGGGGGATAAAACCGAAAGCAGAAGCCACAACGCCTATGATGAAGAGAAGCATTCAACCAGGGGGAGGAGGAGGAGGAGGTGGGACTGAAAGGTGGGAAAATGTTATGTATGAAACCCTAACAGCAACAGTATTGTAAAACATAAGTACAGTGCGAAACATAATATATATACATATATATATATTCACACACATCCTATATGGTCCCCCAAAGACCGCCAGGAGTGATTCCTGAGCTCTGAGCCAGAAGTAACCCCTGAACATTGTAAAGTGTGGTCCAATGCACCCCCCAAAAGATTATCCAAAGTCTTAAACCAGCTGTACATTTTTCATATGTAATGTTCAACCATCCAAAAAATAATCAGGTATTCAAAGAGATAAGACCAGTCCCAAAACAAAAGAAATTTAATAAAACATGCAAAACATTTACAAGGAATTCAGATGGTCTTGAAGTCAACCCAAAACTGATTCAGATGAAAGCATTAGTCGTCATGCACATACAGCAATTATCAAAATGCCATCCATATGTTTAAAAAGTTGAACAAATGAAAGTAGACTATGAACCGAACATGATTGCCACTTAATGTCTCTTTTGCAGACCACAACACCCAAAAGGAGAGAGAAAACAAAAGGGAATGCCCTGCCACAGAGACACAGTGGGATGGGGGGATGGTGGTGGAAAATGGGCACTGGTGGAGGGATGGGTATTTGATCATTGCATCTTCCACCCAGATCCTCCAAATTCCAGTAGGCGGGGGTCACACCCACCACCTGGCCCCCTGGCGCCGTGTAATCCCATCAGCGGCCAAGACTCAGAGACTATAAAATCCAGATCCCGGACGAGAACAGTGCAGTCTCTGCCCCCGCGCCTGGGTGTTCCTTCCCGGAGCCCCTTGGAGGGGAGCGGGTTGAGCTTTCCTCCCCGCCCCGACCAGGGCTCCGGCAGCCGAAGACCTCCAAGACCAGCCGCCACCATGCTGAGACCACTCTCCACACACATGAAGGTACTGGCAGAGGGACAAAGCCACGCGGGTTCCGGGGCCGAGACCTCCAAGCCTACTCGAATTGGAGTCGAGCATCTTCCACCCAGATCCTCCAAATTCCAGTAGGCGGGGGTCACACCCACCACCTGGCCCCCTGGCGCCGTGTAATCCCATCAGCGGCCAAGACTCAGAGACTATAAAATCCAGATCCCGGAACCGCGCGGTTATCAGAACTTTTTTTTTATGACATCTTATTGTCTCATTCCTACTTTGGACAAACTTGCAGGCTATCGAATGCAGCAGGGCAGAGTCTGGCAAACTCCCCTTGGCGTACCAAATATGCCAAATACCAGTAACAATGATGGGTCTCATTCTCCTAAGGAGCCTTGAATATAATCTCAGGGCTAGGATGAAAGAGACGTTACTGGGGCCTGCTCGAGGCAATCGACGAATAACAGGATGATGAAATGAAAATGAAAAAAATAATCAAAACCCAAGCACAAAAATTTGTAAGTCTACAACTGTACCTCATGGTGTTTCACTGATAAAAATATAAAAAAAAAAAGTTGAACAAAGATGTAAGGTAGATACTAAAACAATCGTCAACCTATCTTGGGAAGGTGAAAACTAGAGTGAAAAATAAAAATAAAGTGAGTAGGACCAACAGTAGATTCAACATGACTGAAGGACCTGAGGGACTGAGCATGCCTCTGCTCTAACTACTCTGGAATAAAAGAAGCCAGACCAGAAAAAATAATACCATGCGCCTTGCATGGAGCCAACTTCAGTCTGATTCCCTTCACCACATACAGTTCTCTGAGCAATACCAGGAGTGACACCTGAGCACCGAATAAGGAGTACACCCTGAATAGTGCCAGGTATGGCCAAAAACAACAGCAACAAACAAAAAAAGAGTTAACAGCCTATTTATCTGGCCTAACTCTGGGAAAAGTACCCAAAAGTATGTTTTTAGAATACATAAATAACTCTTTCAATTCACAAGGAAAAGATCATTCAAAAGAAAAATGAAAGTAATAAAGGAAAAAATTCTATACAGTATATAAAAAAAGTCCAAAGACGACAATAAGCAAAAATATAACTCTAACTGTCAAGGAATTGAAAATTATAATTAAGCCTTACAACAATGACCTGAAATACAAAACTTAAATGTTTCAATGAAGGGAAGAGAATTTGTTTTTTGGGGGCTATACACAGCTGTGCTCAGGGAATCACTCCTAGCAGTGCTAGACAGACCATATGTGGTACTGGTGATAGAACCTGAGTTGGCTGTGTGCAAGAAAATGACTAAGTCACTATACTATCGCTATGGCCCCTCATCTGAATTTTTGTGCACCATCTAAACAAGTAGAGATTTGAATATTCTAAAGTTTTCTATATAATTTATAAGCTAAATTATGCATGCCCTACAACTCAGCGACTGTATACATCTATGCACAAAAGTATTATGAAAAGTGTGGCACTCAAAATAAGGAAACAAAACAATGGTCTCAACCACAGAACAAAGGTGGTCTATATAATGGAATATAATGCAGTCATAAAAATAAACCACATGGATCAATCTCATAAACGTGATGATGAATAAAAGAAATGAGCACAAAAGAATGCAGAATGAATCTCAATACAGAAAGGATCAATAGTATTTACTTTTTGTTTCATATAACAAAACCATTTTTATTAAGACTGAAATAATTGTATTTCATAAATATCAATTAAGATGAGAATGTCTTTAAAACTATTCATTTGATGTAAAAGATACTGCAATTAACAGAATAAACTTTTTTAAATGTACTGCATTAAAAATTTATAGGTGTTGGGGACAAAAAGATAGTACAGCAGGTAAGATATTTGCCTTGCATGCAGTAGAACCAGGTTCAATTCCTGGCACCCCATATGGTCCCCCAGGAGTGATCCCTGAACTCAAAAAAAGGAGGAAACCCTGAGCACCACTGGGTATGGCCAAAAACACAAAACATAAAATAATAAATCTTTAAAGTTAGAGAGAGAGGAGACAAAAAGATAATACAGCAGGTAAGGTGCTTGCCTAGCATGCAGCCGATCCAGGTTCAGTCAAATCTGGATTGACCCTGGCATCCCATATGGTCTCCAACACCACCAGGAGTGATTCCTGAGTGCAGAGCCAGGAGTAACCCCTGAGCACTGCTGTGGCTCAAATAAAATAAACCTAGAGAGTACAATGCTAAATCCTTCCTTGCTTTGCATATAGCTGACCCCAGTTTGATACCAAAAATTGCATAGGATTCCCCTGAGTACCACAAGGAGTGATCCCTGAGCAGAGAAAAAGCCCTGAAGAGAGCTGGGCATGGTCAAAGTTTCCCCTGCCTGAAAAAATAAACTGAAGCAAAATAATAAAAATCTTAAGAGTTCAACTTGTCATTACTGTGCTAGATTCGCCTTCTCTTGGTCATGTTCTTTTTTTTTCATATTATTTAATTAGTTTTTGGGGGGGTCACATCCAGCAATGCTCAGGGGTTACTCCTGGTTCTGCAATCAGGAATTACTCCTGGCGGTGCTCGGGGTACCATATGGGATGTTGGGGATCGAACCCAGATCAGCCGCGTGCAAGGCAAATGCCCTACCCGTTGTGCTATTGCTCTGGACCCTTGGTCATGTTCTTAAGATTTCTTTTAAGTGATTTCCGAAAAATGTATTTTCTGAAAGTCAAAACTTAACACAATGTTTTGTTAACAATTATTTCTCCCATTGTTGTTAATAACTCCATAGAGTATTATCACTCAATCACAGAAGTGGAAAAATGGTCAGACTCTTAGTGTGATCTGATCTAACAAAAAAAAAAAAAACTTTTTTTAATACCTGGTATGCAGGACCGGAAGTATTGTATACACAAAGTTCATTTCCATCCAAAGGGAAAGCACAATGTTGCCTACTGCAGGCAAGCTGAACATGGGATGCAGACTCCTTGGATACAACCAGGTACTTCTCTATAACTATGTCATCTGCACAGCCATCATTGTTGGAGAAAAGTGGGCTTTCCATTTCAACCTAAGTACAAAGATGAATAAGATTATACTCACATTTTAATATAGATAATAATCTGTTATTCAATTACTTCAAAAATTAAACATACGACACACATGAGACCTAGGTATTCATCTCTGCCCAAGTTTCCAAGAAAAAGAAAGCTACCAGGAATGGGGGCAGGAGTGGTAGCACAATGGGTAGGGTGTTCGCCTTGCACGCCACTGATCCAGGTTCAATCCCCGGCATCCCATATGGTCCCCCAGCACTGCCAGGAGTAATTCCTGAGTGAAGAGCCAGGAGTAATCCCTGAGCATCGCTGGGTGAGACCCAAAAAGCAAAATAAAAAATAAAAAAAGAAATCTACCAGAATTCTGTTGCTTCAGTATCATCTCACTCTTCCCCTTCAATGGCCCTGGAGTCATTATACTGCTGCCCCAACTGATCCTTCCTTTAGGTATGAAACAGCCTTGACAGCTAGCGAGAGAGTGTGCCAACAAAAGTGGGGCAAAGGGTATGGCTATCTAGCCATCTGGCTAGTCAGGTGAATTTGAAGAACCTCACTGTGAGGACCCCTCACTAGGCAGGCAGGTAGATAGGAAAGCCAGAAGATCCCCCACCATCACCACCACCACCACCAAGACCACCAGGGCAATGAATTCCTGGGACATAATAAAACCAAAAGTTGCAAGGCTGAGAAAGCCCACCTTGTGGACATGTGAACTAATGCCTGATAAGAACTTCACCTGGCGCCCAAAAGGCTGGACATCCACCCCCCACCGGAAGCTCCAGCAGTAACAAAGGCCAGGAAAGTAATTTCAAAGAAGACCACTAACTATTCCCAAGTCTATCCACTTGGAAACCACTCTAACAATTGACTCTTACCTAGGTGGAAAAGTCCAATGTGGGGCAGCTTGGGAAAAACCCTATAAAAGCCAACTTGAACAAAGGAAGCACGCACATATCCTGCTGGAGTCCATGTTCTGCCTGTGCCTATGTGCATGTGGTGCCAGAGCACATGTCACCTGTCTCTCCCCTCTTGAGATGGATACTTTCAACCTATGCAGGGATGTGTCGTGGGGCCCTCTACGCCTTTGGAGAAGCCTGCATTCTCTTTTGAGCACCTGTGTGTGTGTGCCTCTCTCTGTCTCTCTGTCTCTGTCTCTCTCTCTCTTTCTCCCCCTCCCCTTCCTCAAACCCACCAAATAAAATCTGTTGGTTTTGGTATTTTTCCTTTACTTCACTGCTTTCTTTTAACTTCACTGCCTCCTCCTGAAATTCTTTTCTGAGAGAAAGGTGAAGGACCAAAAGGCCTAGGTAAAGCCTAGGACTGAATTTACCTTCCTGCAAAGAGCAATTTGTCACACCAGTCTGAATTCACAGCTCCCCAGGAAATTGGGTGTTGGGGACTAACTCCCATGCCATGCTGCCTAGTGTGGCTAGGGGGACATGAGATCCATGCCACGGAGGGGCTCATCAGGGCTGTTCCCAGGGTAGCAGAGGTGGATCAGGAGTAAGCGAGAGACCCCCTTCACCAGGTAGCTGTCTCTCCCCTGGGCTTCACATTAAGTCACCTGGGGATCCCTCCAACATGAGAGGAAATTCCAAATACCCAATTGTTTGGTCCCCAGGCTGGCTGTGTGGACAGAACCTGATCAGCTTCCTAGGACATGAAGGCAAAGGCAGCAAGTTGCGTCCTGAGTCAGAAAGGGTTGGAAGGAGGCTAGAAATCAGTCCTGGAGGAGGTGGCCTCGCATGAGGAGAGAACATCAGACCATGGAAAGGGGCTTCCACCGCAGCTCAGACCATGGAGAGCCACAAAGGCTGCCCAGTCATGAGGGACGTCATAGGAGTCTGGGGTCACTATGGAAACCGCCCATTTGTTCATCTGTTCCAGTCTGAGGACAGCCACAGGCCCGGGCCACCTAGACCTCAGCCACCTCCCACCTCAGCGTCCTCCCACCTGGGCCATCCTCTACCTCAGCCATCTCATTGGGAGCCACCTCCCGCCTCAGTGCCCTCAGATGGGGACCCCGCCCACCTCGGTCACCTCCCGCGGGGACCCCGCGCACCTCAGTGCCCTCAAGTGGGGCCCTCCCCCCCAGTCACCTCAGTCACCTCCCGCGGGGCCCCTCGCACCTCAGTGCCCCCAGGTGGGCCCCTACCCCCCAGTCACCTCAGTCACCTCCCGCGGGGCCCCTCGCACCTCAGTGCCCTCATCAGGTGGGCGCCCTCCCACCCCAGTCACCTCCTGCGGGGCCACCTCGGCCCCCCAGCTGAAGGACGTGTGCGGCCGGCCGCGGCTCCGGCAGCTCCCCGCGTGGCCGCCCGCACCGCCCCGCGCCGCCCCGCGGGCGCCAGCCGCAGGGACAAGCTCGCAGCCCCTGCGTCTCAGAAGCCCCGACCCGCGCGCGCCTCTCCGCAGACGCCTCCCGCCCCGCGGCGCCGGGCCACGCCCCCCACGGTCGCCGTGGCAACCGGCAGGCTCGGCCCCGCCCCTGCCCCGCGCCGTTCTCGCGAGAGCGCGGCCCGCCCACTTCCGGGCCGCTGGCTTCCGGCTCGGCGGCGGCGGCGGCGGAGCGGAGCCCGCGGCCTGCCCTGCGCGCCATGCCGGCCCCGGGGCCGCGCGCGCTGCCGCCGCTGCTGCTGCTGCTGCTGCTGGCCGCGGCGGGCAGCGCGGACGAGGACGAGGTGCCCGGCGACTGGGTGCTGCTGCACGTGGTGCAGGGCCACATCGGCGCGGGCAACTACAGCTACCTGCGCCTGAACCACGAGGGCCGCATCGTGCTGCGCATGCGCAGCCTGCGCGGCGACGCCGACCTCTACGTGTCCGACACCACCCTGCACCCCAGCTTCGACGACTACGCGCTGCAGTCGGCCACGTGCGGCCGCGACCTCGTGGCCATCCCGGGCCACTTCCAGCGGCCCGTGGGCATCGGCATCTACGGGCACCCGTCGCACCTGGAGAGCGAGTTCGAGATGAAGGTGTACTACGACCGCTCGCCCGAGCAGCGTCTGGACGCCGACGCGGCCCGCGCCGACGCACTGCCGGGGCCGGCGCCCGAGGACGCGCACGACGAGGACTCCCTGCTCTGGACCGTGCTCATCAGCGTGCTCAAGCTGGTGCTGGAGATCCTCTTCTGACGCCGGCGGCCGCCGCCACCAAGCAGGGGTTCTCGTGCTACTCCCGGGGCGGCCAGAAACCAGGAGGATTAGAAGCACTCGGGAGAAGCCAGAGCCGCAGGGACTCGAGGCCAGCCCTGGAACAGTTACAGCTGCGGGTGAAGGTGCCAGTTGCCCGCCGGGTTTCTGCAGAGCTACAGGACCAAGAAACGTAAATGCTCCTGAGAGACGAACTCTGCCTAAAATTGGTCTCAAGGGTAGGAGTAGTGTATACGAGAATAGTTTATTGAGAGACGAATCAACTTGCAGATTTTTAAAGCACGTACTTTCAAAAATCCTTTATTGGCATAAAAATGAGAATGTTGTAAATAAATTGGCACCAAATAGTTCATTCAAATCCATATTGCAATACTGAGATCAAAAAGCTATCCCTCTTTGCTGTTTTTCCCCCTTCTGCCCACTTTCCTGGGTGTTGGGGGAGCTCGCTGACAACAGTCACATATCCAGCGACCTAGGAAAAAAATGGTTGTTATAGAATGAATTTCATTCTTCAGGAATGAATTTCAAACCCATGTATGATGTAAGCCTCTCCTTAGCGATTTCTTAACACATTGCCCCTAGGGATCAGTGGTGGAAAGGCTGCATGTGGATTCCACTTCAGGCATACTGCTGTGTCTGTCCACTGCCATGTGAATTACTGAAAAGTGAGGTAAAGGATCAAGAACAGTGCAGCAGTCTCCAAGACCTTTAAAATGTTAGGGTGGTTCTTTCCTAAATGCAAATATGGTCTTTGAAAGATGGAAACAATAAATCTTACATAAAACCTATTCCTAAAGGTGGCTTATTTTCAGCCTTTTTCTTTGATGCTTTCACTGGCAGCTGAGTCCAAGACCATCCAAGTCTGGTATGTATGCTAAGGACAGCAGTTAGAACAGTACTTGCCAGCAGGAAACAAATTGCTACATACTTGATGTGAATGACTATTAAATTATTTAACTTCCTAATGATTTCCAGGAAACTGTTCTAGGTACATGTTTATAGAATATTATAGTGTTAACCATGCAAGTAAGTTCTAAAATTACACAATTATCTGTGTACAGTTTTAGTCCAATTACTGTGATTTATTCTTCAATGATAGGTTTATTTTTAAAGTTACCTGGAATTGTCATGCAGCCTCAATTTTTAGAAATCTGGTTTAACAATTGTAAAGGCATAGCAGTCATTCTGTTAAGTATACAGAAATAAAATCTAGCCTTTGAAACAGACTGATACTTGCTGATTTAGCTACTTGGAAAATTTGTCATTATTACTCTACATTGAATTTTACTTCCAAAACTTACGAGGCTAGACACTCGTTTGTCTAATACAGGTGGCTGTGACATGGGTAATACTGGTCCAGTCCCTTCACTCAAAGATAATGTTACTTTTTCTTTAATCTTTACCTGATGGAATAGCACCAAGGCCCACACAAAAAGTATGATAACCTCTGTCACACACATCACAGAACATCATTTCTTCTTCATGGTGGGGTTGTCCACATATAATGCAAGTTTTACATTCCATGCATTGCCATGGGTAGGTCTTAATGATAGAAACAAGCTCCATAGTCATATCCAGGCAAGAAGGATGGCCTAAATCAGAACCAGTATTAGTAGTTTTCACACAAATATTTTTTAACAATATGGCATAAATAAAATGCTAGTTTGCTTTAGGATTTCTCACGAGTGGCTATAAAGGGCCAGACAGTACAGCAGGTAGGGTGCTTGGCTTATACATGGCTGATCCAGGTTTGCTCCCCAGTGCCACACAGGATGAAAGAGCCACACCAGGAGAGATCACAGAGTACCACCTGTGTGACCCAACCACCCTCTTCCCCAGCCCCTGGCCCTCAGGAAAATAAAGTGGCTATAATGTTTGATTACCAGAGGGAAATGGAAATACAAAAAGACAAGAAAATATTTTCTCAGGGGCTGGAGTGATGTATAATGAATAGGACATTTGCCTCGAATGTAGCCAAACTGGGTTGGATCCCTGGCATCCCATATGGTACCCCCAGCGTTGTCAGGAATGATTCCTGAGTGCAGAGCTGGGGGTAACTGTAACCAGGAGTCACCCCTGAGCTTGGCAGGATATGATCCAAAAAGTACCCCCTCCCTCCCCCAAAAAGAGAATTCCTCAACAAACTGCCCCCACACCTTACAAATTATCCTGTGTCTGATGATTCTTTGGTTCCAACTCTAGGTGACAAGTAAAAGTCCTAGATTTTTTTTTGAAGCAAGAAATGGGGCGGTTAATATTTTAAGAAGACATTTCAGTACTTACCACTATTGTCACATTGAGAGCAGTGTATAAGTGATTCAGCCTTGCCTTTCTTGTTGGACTCCTTACCCTTCAGACAAATTCCACATATAGCATTTGGAATGACCTTTGGCTGGAAGGGTAGAAGAGGGCTATAAAATCATGCCAAAAGAACTTACTATGGGTTCAAAAGGAATTCTGTAACTGTACTGCCTTATCTTTACTTTTTACTAAGCTGCTAATGGGAACCTTTACAAGATAGAAGTTGACATGAATTTGTTTGCAACATACATGGACCTTATATTTACCAACTAAAGCCTTATATTTAATTTTAAAATTTGTCAGGGCATGATCTCAAATAGGATTAAATATAGCATTATACAGTCCATAGATAGTAAAATCTTTATAACGAACTGAAACTAAATGCAGTGTCAAATTACACTTTGGGAAAAGAAAAACCAAGTGACAAATGACCATAACGTGAATTAGGCTTATGTGAAAAGAGTTGTAAGCAACTTATATATATTGATTTTTCTTTTAATGACATTTGCCAGTATTGCATAATTAGGCATATAAAACTGAGAAAAATCAATTTTTCAACATTTTTAAATAAGAAATGTCTTATGGATATATTGTCATATGCATAAATGCAGAAAACCAAAGCATGTGATTTTTCCTTACATATCTAATAACAGAGCTTGTGCTTAGAGAAAAAAACACTTATCAGATACAAAACATAAAAGAGAAAATTTTTCAGAGAAGCAAAAATAAAAAAAGCCATGTAAGAATTGCAGATACTCTTCTACGTCAAGTACCATTTTTTTCATATTAAAAACATGCACAAATCCAATAATGGTTTTTTCAGTGGGTTTTCATACAATAGTTAGCAACACAAGAAAAGGGACAAAGGAAAAGAAAATTTCACTACACCAAAAATTACCAGGGAAGTAATTTTACTCAAATGTGACACATTTGAATAACACAACCTTCACCATAATGAAATGAAGTTTATTCACACTGTAATAAGTGCCTAAGTGTGTGTGTGTGTATGTGTGTGTGTGTGTGTGCGTGTGTGTAGACACACACACACACAGCAATAGAAAAACATAGCATGGATTAAACATGAAATGACGGTCAAGAGAATGCGGGTGTACGTGTATGTATGTGTTTATGAACTGGGATAAAATTATTTTAAACATTCTATTTCTATTTCATTCTAACCCAATTCATCTGTTTCCCTTTCCTGAGTTACTACACCAAAGAGAAGCCTAAATAATGCCTAATGTATCTAGTTCTCTGGCTTTGAAATGTTTCACTGCCTTCATAACTTGTAAGGCCTAAATAATACTTTCTTAACTCTTTATATATTTTTTAACTTATAAAAGTATCTTTCTTAGCAAAAGATGACAGAGGCATTCAAAAATAATTTTTGGCTTATTTATTTAAAAAGTCAACCTTATACATAAATATAATAAAAACAATAACTAAACAATCACAAATATCTCTACAAAATAAATATCATGGAAGTTAAAACATACATATAAAGCTTGACCATTGGCTATTCTACATCTCCTGTATTTAGACCTTGATACCCTGCTCCCCCAACAAAAGGATAGTGTCACATGCTCAAACGTTTAAGTCTCGCAGTGTAGTTACCCTGTTGTTGCTATAGTCTAAGCATTAGGTTCTCATTCTATTTCCTAAATAAATATAAATATTACCTAAATAAAAATAGCTAGGAAGTGCACTTCTATGACCCAAATTCTGGTTCAGTTATGATCAAATCTATCACTGCCATAATATACAGCAGGAAGTTACCTCTCAATTCACCAAACTAAGAAATCTTTCAGTTGCGGTACTTGTGCGAAGTGTAAAAGATATATTTATTTAGCACTTGCAGTTTAGATACTGGCATACTAAGCACTCTAATCTCTCACTATAATCAAGGAAAGTAACCACACAATGTTCAGTTCTAAAGAGAACTCATAAGAGACCCTTTACAAAAGTCAAATAGAATAAAATACAAAGCTAATCATTCACATTCTAGAGCAATTCAAGTTCTACAATCATTAGATTATACATTAAGCACCTACGATAAGAGGGCCACCAAGAAAATTCTAGGTTTACTTCTAAGCTTTAAAATAGTGTTTTGTTAAACCACATAAAATTTTTCTTACCCAACAGTCTTCGTCTCCATGAAAAAAAGGAAGAGAGAGGATTGGAGAAGAGAGAGAAAAAGACAGAGCTTCATAGCGTTTTTGTATGGTGATGTGGTAGCTCCAAAAACCCCACTGTTCATGCACAGAGAGGCCTCTAGGAAGACACCGTTCACAGCCAGCTGCCGATGCACCATACAACACCAGCAGCTGGTTGGGAAACTAGTCTCTTCTGGGTACTAATGAGTTGATGGAGGAGAAAGGAAACTGCGTAGAACTCCCCGAAGGTTAACAGGACAGAACCCTACGTCTGAGTACGTCAGCCAGGTCCACTTCTAATCACTGCAACAACATCAAGGTTTCACCACTACAGGAATGTTAAAACATTCATCCAAACAGCTCTATATATCTCAAATAAAATGCTTCAAAAATCAACCCAAAGTGAGACTTTCATAGCACTTACACAGCATAGGTTTTAATTATATACTTATAACATAGGCTTGAATCCTAACAATTATGCTTTAATTTCAGGTTAATGTAACCTAAACAACACTGTCCTACAGATTAAGGGCAAGCACTAGCGAATCTTATGAAGCAAGACATCAGATACATTATCATAACTCCCATTTTAAAACTAAGACCTTCAGCTTGAAGTACCCCAATATTTAGGCACATCTTGGTTTATTAATACTTTTCATAGAGAGGTTAATTCTTAATAAACATGTTCACATTAATGTACTAAGTCTAGATACTTGCTCCAAACTTCAAAATACCTGAAACATTTTTAGGTACTAAAAATGTTCAGATTATAATAAAAAGTATATCCTGCATATTAGACTCCCTTCAGTACTATCAATTTAAGTTCATCTATATGACTTATTCTAGATTAAATCAATGATAGTGGTATTGAATACTTCTTCAATTTTCAGCCTCTATTAAAATGTCAGTATTCTTTTCTGTAACTCATGATTAATCCAGGCGTGTTGTCTAAAGGTCTACAAACACGAAAGAGTTCACAGGACAGTGTGCTCGAAGCTGCTGCTTCCAGTAGCACACATAGGCTAACTTTCCAAAATTTAACATCAGAAGTTCATTTCCTTTCAATACTTAAGTATGAATTTAAATCCTTAGTTTAAAAGAAATTAGATAAGGAGTATATATGGGGGTGTGTATACGTATAAAATGTTTATATATATATATGTACACACACACATATATATATATGGAGAGAGATGTAAAAACAGTATAAAACCATAAAGGTTCAGCCTTCTGAAGTCATCCTCAAGAGCCCTCCCTGGTGGAAAGATTCCTACAATTCCCTTGCCATAGACTGAGGAAACATTTTTTGGGAGGACGAGTTGGGCATTGGGCAGTGCTCAGGGCTGACAACCAGCTCTACACTCAGGCAGGGAATCACTCCTGGCCGATTCAGGGGACCATACTAAGTGCTAGGAATCAAACCAGGTTGGCTGCATGCAAGCAGGCATCTTACTCCCTGTATCAATTCTCCAGCCCAAAACACGTACCTTTTTTTGGATTTTGGGCCACACCGGCTCTATGATCAGGGGTTACTCATGGCTCTGCACTCAGGAATCACTCCTGATGGTGCTCGGGAGACCATATGGGATGCTGGGGATCAATGCCAGTTTAGCTGCATGCAAGGCAAAAGTGCCCTGCCTGCTGTACTATTACTCCGGCCCCTCAGAACATGTACTTTTATGTTCATTCCATGAAGGCATTCCCTAAATACATATACCTTAATTTGTTAAGTCACTTTTTTACTTTAAGGAAAAGAAAGGCAACCAAAACACTCGAAGTGCTGGGGTTTGGCTGAGGGAGTCGGCCTGCAGCTCACATGAACCTGTTCTGGATTAGCAGAAGCCCAATTCTGATTACACAAGCTGGAACATTTCCACTCAGGAAAACTTGTTCATCATCTCCCTCTATGATGCCTTCAAAACACTTCCATAGCCATAATAAAAAGCCTTTTCTAATGCATTCAAGACAAAAAGAACTATTTCACAATTATGGTCCAACCAGAAAGCTGTAGTTAACTGCAACCCTTTCAGCTACTTCCCAGTTCACATACAAGATGAAAATGACTCACCTCTTCCCTAACCCTCAGAAAAGCAGAGGACAATTAGAAGTAAACGATAAAAAGGAAAATATTGCTGACGGTGCTACTTTACTCAGAAAATAACCAGGGAAAGAGAGTCTATCTACGACGAAATAGCTCAATAATGTTTACATCCTTATAATAGAATAATACAGGTTACTTGCCAAGATTAAGCAAAGCTAAAAACCAGATTCAATATAAATAGCAGCTTGTATCTTTTCTAGGCCATAGTGAGTTGCATTTGGCAGATGGAGATATAAATCTTACTTTAACCCCAGATCTTTCTTAATAAAAGGCACTACAAAAATACAACTCAAATACTACACCCACTCATACTTGACCACATGGCATGTTTACCTATACTAAGTACTAGAATAGTTAAAACATAGGATTAATTATGATCTTTACTAAGAAAACAAAGTATAAAGTTCTGCCTGTGAAATAATCTTTTAAATCCATACTTGCCTGGTTGTATTGAAAAATAAAAGATTCTCTTAAAAATTAAACATATACAGAAAACAGAAGCTAACCCAGAGCCAAAAGTCAAGGCAATAGCAAAGCCACCAGGAAAACAGAGCCCGAGAGCAGGAAGCTGACAGGGCACACCGCACAGAGCACGGACAGGAGTGTAGCGAGCAGAGCGCCCCAACTGTGAAAGTCAAAGGTGAGCTATTTCAGGGAGAGAGCTGGTCAGTAAAGAAGCTGAGTCAGGGGCTTTTTTCTTCTACCTTGTACCCAGGCACTGATTTGGACAGTACAGAACGTTTGGAAGCATCTTTTCTCGGAGTAGCAGTTCTGTCCTTGGTTCTCTGTCTTCCCTGGAAAGGCTCCTCCTGGCTGTCGGGAAGAGCTTCCCCCTCAGATACATTGCCAGAGGAGCTGTCCTGGAGTTCAAAGGCACAAACAAACATTCCTTGGCATTCACATAGATTTGAATCTGAATTTTGAAAACTACAGAAAATATCCCCCAAAATATGTTAAAGTCGTACACTTTCAAATTCCTCCCAGTACCACTTGTTGAAGAGCTTTTCCTTGTTCCACTTCATACTTCTAAAGTTGCAGCATTTTCAAAATAAAAATCTAACTGTAATTTTCCCATCTGAGACTAAAATAAGTCACGTTTTAAACATTCATCCCATAGGCCAGCAGACCCCAGTTAGAGTCCCAGCACATGGTCCTCTAAGCAGTCCCACTGCCAGGCACTGCCCCTCAGGCCGTCATACTGACCCCCAGTCCCCACTCACTGGCCACAAATAGCCAGGAGGGTCCACTGGCCTCCTGAGCACCATTGTGGAGCTCCCAATGAAACTTAAAAAAAAAAAATCCCTCTTAAGTACACTGTATCACACTGTCAATTCCATTTACATAAGCAGGATCTTTTATGGGGGTCTGGAGGAGGTTTCAAAATTGGGCTTATGAGATCCAGAGGCCACTCCAGGTGATTTCTGGTCCTGCTGGGATGGGCGCAGGAAAATCTGTACAGTGAAACTGCTCCTGAAAGTACTGCTATGGGCTCTAGGCGGGGAGACCCTCAGGGGTCCTGCATGCTACAGAAACCCTCTCCAACCTGAGAACCTTCCCCCTAGGACCCCACAGCAATACTTTCAGGAGCAGCTTTAACATTGCATTGCCATTCTGCAAAGGAATACGCTTCTGTCATACAATAGTTTAAAATATAAATTTTGAGATAAGCATGTTTTCATGTCACATAGAGCAAATACAGTGGCATATCTGGCAACAGTTTCTGACATATTTTACACATTCAAAGTTTAGGGGTATATATCAGATCAATGAGACCTTCATTTTTTAATTTAAAAATTTCTAAAATAGGGGGCTGGAGCAATAGCACAGCGGGTAGGGCGTTTGCCTTACACGCGGCCAAACCAGGTTCGATTCCCAGCATCCCATATGGTCCCCTGAGCACCGCCAGGGATAATTCCTGAGCGCAGAGCCAGGTGTAATCCAAAAAGCAAAAAAAAAAAAAATCTAAAATAAATTATATGTTCATATAAATTATAAATATTACACATGAAGATACTTGGTTACCTCTATCTAGCATGATTTCTTTCTCCTTGGGGATAAGGGGGAGAGGGGCTTGGGTCACACCCAGGGATACTCAGAGATCATTCTGGTTGTGCTCAGGGGACTATATGCAGTGCTGGGGATCAGACCTGGATCCGTTCCAAGCAAGACAAAATGCCTTCACCCCTAGATCAGAATTTTTGTTTTGTTTGGGGCAACACAGGCAGTATGCAGGGCTAACTCCTGGCTCAGCACTCAGAGGTCACTCCTGGTGGTGCTTAAGGGACAATCTGTGGTGCCAGAAATGAGACCTGGGTCAGCCGTATCCAAGGCAAGTGCCTACTCACAGTATTATCTCCCTGGCCCCACAGATAAGGAATTCTTAAGCTTTTCCACTCACGACCCCCTTTGCATTCTCAGATAGTTTTACACAACCCCAGGCATATAAAATAGACAAAAAATCTAACATTTACTAATAACAAATCCTAAAGTTATTTTAAATAAATTTTGCAACCCCCATTATTACATGTCCCCATATGGGGCACAATCCCCAGCTGGAAGCTAGGATCTACATGACCACCCAGATAAACACTCTTGAGACCACCTCAGGGAACATGTTTGCCTCTCAAGTTTCTCCTAGGTCCATGTGCTCACCCAGACTCCCTGACTTACACTCTCACATAGTCACCAAAATGACACCCATGTCCTCCTTATTTAATACAGAAAAACAGAACACACTGCATGTACGTGCTCCCGAATTTTGTAAAGCATTGTGTGCATTTTATCACAGTAGCCACATTTCTGTCATGCGGATGTGCATCACCCACTGACTGAACAGATCTCTTACTTACACTAAAGTTAACACATCAATAGGAGCTTTGTTCCATTTAGATTTTGTCAGCATCTGGTTCAACATAAATACCATGTATATTTACACGTCAAATCACAGAGGTTAAAACTTTAGTATATACCATTAAACTTTAGTATATACCATTAATTATAAATCAGATTACAATTCTATGTAGTCTGAAAATACTTCATCACACCTTCACCATACCGTAACTCCCCCTTTTAATAGTACGATTAAAAAAATGTGGTAGCATATTGTTTGAGCTGCTTCTTTTAAGATGTTTCATGTTTCAGAAGCTGCTGCTGACAAAAATGCAATGCCCACTCAACAATGGCACATTCTCAGGCCCAGGTGCTTAGAGGGAACAGCTTTTACTTAAGCATTTACACTGAATCTCCCAAACAGGTGCTGCTCAGGCACAGGGCATCCCAGTGGTGCCAGGGGTCAACCCCTGGGCTTTCACATGCCAGGCACATATGCCAGCCCTGACTGCTCTCCCTAGCCCAATACACAGTGATAAAAAAAAAAATGAAAACTGCTATCATATTTCACAGAGCACACCAACCTTCCTATCATCTTACAACGGCACTTTGCTGCCAAAGAAAAACCGACAAAAGAACCTAACTAAAGGCACACATAGTAAGCTACATCTTCCTACTGGGACCCTTCAATTCTCTTTTGTGGGAAGACTTCAGGCCATGCTCAGGGAGGCAAAGGCAGCTCCAACAAGCCTTGGCCAAGCAGGCCAGAAGGTTGATGCTTGAGCCCAGTGATGCAGTGGTACTCAGCCTGCAACGCTGAAGCCACTTGGGCAATCCTGGAGTGTTCTAAAAGCCAGTAGGGCCATCACTGGCACTCCTTGGGGCTGGCAGTGGTGGGTGGGAGAGGCTGGGCAATGGGAGGGCAGGGGACCACTCAAATCTCTGAGCATGCAATTTGTATGCCCTAGACCACAGAGCTACCTCCCAGCAAAAAAGGAGCCCAACAACTCATAATTAAGCAGTAAGAACATAATACATTCACCAAACCCAAATAACTAAGTATCAGACCATAAGTTAATAGCTGGCACTCTTAGCTAACAGCAAAGGGACAGCCTGAAAAATAAGATTTACCATAGCCATGTACCGCTAGTCTGCACACAGAAATAGCTTTTCTTGATGAAAAATTTTCATCTCAAAATCTGTCAACTATCCTTTAAAAAAAAAGAGACTGGTGATACTAGTTCAATTTCACATTCGAGCAATAAAATTAGCAGAACTCCAAATGTAAAGCATATAGTTCCTACAAAGCCCAACATTCTCACCGAAGTGCCTTTATTCTTCCGTTTCTCGTCACTTCGACCATCCTCCGCATCATCTGAATCACCATCACTGTCTAGAGCTGGGAGCTCAGGGTCCAGGGGGGGCTCATAAAGCGCAGTGTTTAACGGCAGGTATCGCAGCTCATCTGGAGAGTACCTACATTTCAGAGGTGCTTTAGTTATCCTTTAGAAGTAAATAGAGCAGGTTAATCTGAGCTAGGAATAGGGCGTTCACCTTCTACATTCACCTCACCTTTGAAAATGATTCAGAGTTAATAAGAAATTTTTCATTCTGGTAATCAAGTAGCGTAAGTAACAAAATACCAGAACATTTCTTCACTAGGTAATGTATCAAAATGAAAATCTCTCTCATATGCAGCAAACCCAAACAAGAAGGAACCCTTAGTAGCGTGAGAGTGCAAACCAGGCTTGCCTGCTCATCCCCTGCAGCCATCACTCTGCTGAGCATGCGTGCGTGACAGCCTCCCTCAGAGAACGACGGGTACATGACTACATGAATCACACAGGGCAAGGTACAGGATGGAGCTCAGAAGCAAAGTTTTCAGTCATTACTTTTAATTATCTTAAACCAATATGTAATGCATGTTTTCTAATCAATTTAATCACCTATTTTACTTGAAAGCTTTCTGGGGGGTCACAACCGGTGGCGCTCAGAGAAGCAGGTGGTGCTGGGGACCAAACCTGGCTCCCACTGGTGAAACCTGACCCCAGCCCTGTGGCCCACCATCTCCCCGTTCTCCACAGGGATCAGCAGTCCTTCCCCTGGACCAGGCGGCTCTTGACAAGGGTCTCGGACCTGCCACAGAAGAAACCCCTTCTCCTCTGCAGCCAGCACACCCTGCCTGACTTCTCAGAAAGCAAAGGGGCTGCCAGATGCCTATGATCATCTTTAACTTGGTGACCCAACAATTAAAAAGTTTCCTGAACCATATCTGAAATTTGACTTTTTAAAGCAGTGTAATTCTATAACCTATCTTAAGTACAATTCAACCACACAATTAAGTTCTAGGATATTCCAAAGGGGCTTCAAGGTGGGTCTCAGCAAGAGGCACAGAGACAACATTTTTAGTAGGCCAGGAGGGAAACAGAAAAGAAACAAGGTGGGAAGGGGGCCATAGTCAGTCAGAAAACATTGGTCAATAGTGCCTAAAGGAAACTGTCTAGTGGAGGAAGCGTTTGTCCCACCCACATTATAGAGAAGTAAACACTAAAGTTTTGGAACAAAGTAACGCTAAGTAACGCTGTTCTCATTGAAGTCTTGGTAAGGAATAACAAATTAACGTCCTTCTTGCTATAGTAGAGGCAGAAGTCAACTGGAGGGCTTATGAGATGGCTCCAAGAGCCCTCCAAGCACTCTGCTCCTTGATTCTGGCCTTCTAGCTGCACACCAGCCATACAGCCATCTGTGAAAACGTAGGCTCCAAGTAGGTAGGGCTGGGGCTTTCAGCAAGCTTCTGGGAGATCCCAAAAGGGGGCCACAGAGAAGGGCAATTCAGCTTTCATGGAATGTTCAAACTCTAGTTAGGGGCCATTCTTCCCCTGAGACACAGACCCTATACAATATCCTAAAGGAATATAGTACCTCACCAACAGCCCGGTGCCTCTTGTAGTAATACCTTTTATAATATTCCTGGAACTGTCCGGGGATGAGGGCCACTGGGTAAGAACTGACCTTGGTTCGCTCTGTTGGCAAAACTTTGTACTTCCCTTGAGGCACCTGGATAACCTGGAATAATGTGAAGAGAAATACAAAACTGACTTCAGTTTCTGGTGGTTTTTACCTCATTATCCACTTTATTGAGGAAAGGTTGGGGACGGAGGAATAGACCTGAGGGTTTTCTTTTTCTAAAAACAGTAACACATCCTGTGCTTGATGCCAGATACCCACACATGCCAAACACAGCTCCATGCCTAGTGGTTTGGGGCATTATATGAAGCTTCACAAGCTTGCTGAAGGGAACGGTGCCCTCCATGCTGGTTTCTACCTGTGGAGTCATGTCACCTCCCTATGCCCAAGGGGCCTTGGGGTGTGTGTGAATCAGAGCTGCCTCAACTCCAACTTGTAATTAGGACTTTACCCGGAAAAAAAAAAATTCCCGTCTTGTTCTTTGTTGCAATACTCATCCAGCCAAATTTTGTAAAAAGCTCCAAGTTTAAGAACAAGTTTAAGAACGTGGGGGAACAGGACACCTGGGGCTTCACCTTTTTATAGGGGAGTTTTACCTGGCTCTGTACTATGGCCATCTTTTCTTTACTTTTGCTTTTATTTTGGGGCCACACCTGGCACTATTCAGGGGAGCAATGTGACGCCAAAGATGAAACCCAGACCTCCTGCATACAAAACTTAACATGTACTCAGCCCACTGAGTTACCACGATTTGTGAGGGAAAGTGGTGTCTCTGCTCCCCACTTTATAGCCTGTCACCTGAGCAGCTTCTACAAACTCCAGAGCTCAACTTCCTCATGCAGCAAATGGAAGTGATGCTAGAATAACCACCTCACAAATTCACTGTGAGCAGTAGGTGAACTGCTACAGAAACTGCTGACAATCCTGAGACACACAGCAAGCTCAACATGGTGGGCAGTCTCAACAGACCGCCCACCTTGGAACCAAAGAGCACACACAGTTTCATTAGGCACACACTGAAAAGAACAACTAGTGCTGGTATGGATGAGGAAAGAAAGGGACTCTCATTCACTGCTGGTGAAAATGCCAGTTGGTCCAGCCTTTTTGGAAAACAATATGGACATTTCTCAAAAAACTAAAAATTGGGGCTGGAGCAATAGCACAGCGAGGAGGGCGTTTGCCTTGTAAGCGGCGACCCTGATTTGATTCCCAGCATCCCATTTGGTCCTCCAAGCACCGCCAGGAGTAATTCCTGGGTTCAGAGCCAGGAGAAACCCCTGTGCAACGCCTGATGTGACCCAAAAAGCAAAAAAAAAATAAAACTAAAAATTGAGCTTTGATACGACCCAGCAATACCACTCCCGGGAATGTATCCTAGTAGCCCAATAACAATGCAAAAAAGCCATCTGCACTCCTATATCCATTATGGCACTGTTCACAATAGCCAGAATAAGAACAGACAAGTAGGTAAAGAAACTATGGTATATATACACGATGAAACATTACACAGCTGTTAAGAAAAATGAAGTCATAAAATATGTTCATACATGGACATGGAGAATATGCTAAATGAAATAAGTCAGAGAGAGACAACAACATAGTAAATGAATAAATCCCAAAGACATAGAAACAAGGGCCAGGAGGACTGGTTCATAGCAGGAAGCTTGCCACAAAGGGGTAGGGAAAGTGAAGTTAGGATAGAGAAGGGAGTACTATAACAATGATAGTGGGAAATTACCACTCTGAACAAAAACTGAGTACTGAAAGGTGACTTGATATGCATAATGCCCTTTCAGTAACAACAGTGCAAACAACAAAGCCTAAAAGGAAAATGAGGAGAGAGAGAGAGAGAGAGAGAGAAAGGGAGAGAGAGAGAGAGAAAAGGGGTCTCCATAGAAGAAAGCAGAGAGGGCAGGGCAGGGGGAGGCATGTGTGAAGAATACTGGGGACACTGGTAATGTGCACTGGTGAAAGGATGGGTACTAGAACATTGTATGACTGATACTCAATCAGAACCAACTTTGTAACTGTATTCAAAAAAAATTCAAAAAAAATTAGTAAAGTAAAGTAAAGGCCCTCCCGTTGATCGTCGATTTGCTCGAGCGGGCCCAGTAACGTCTCCATTGGAGACTTTGTTGTTACTGTGTCTGGCATATCGAATACTCTCGGTAGCTTGCCGGGCTCTCCGAGAGGGGCGGAGGAATCGAACTCGGGTCGGCCATGTTGGCCGCGTGTAAGGCGAACGCCCTACCTGCTGTGCTATCGCTCCAGCAAAAAAAATTAAATCAAAAAAAATTTAAAACACATCAAAATGTTCATTAGAAATGGTTTAAGGGGGTGCTAGAGTGATAGCACAGCGGGTAGGGCGTTTGCTTTACACGCGGCTGACCCGGGTTCGATTCCCAGCATCCCATATGGTCCCTTGAGTACCTTCAGGAGTGATTCCTGAGTTGCAGGGTCAGGAGTAATCCCTGTGCATCGCCAGGTGTGATCCAAAAAGCAAAAAAATAAAAAAAAAAAGAAAGAAAAAAAAGAAATGTTTTAAGGGGCCGGAGCAATAGTACAGCGGGTAGGGCGTTTGCCTTGCACACAGCTGACCTGGGTTCGATTCCCAGCATCGCATATGGTCCCCTGAGCACCGCCAGGAGTAACTCCTGAGTGCAGAGCCAGGAGTAACCCCTGTGCATCGCCAGGTGTGACTCAAAAAGCAAAAAAAAAAAAAAAAGAAATGGTTTAAGTTCTCAGGAAGAACACATTGCTAGTGTGTAAGCCAAGCAAGCATGTGGGTGTGCATACACATACACACACACACACACACACACACAGATACACATAAACACACAAATATCAGGCTGAGCAATAGTACGGCAGGTAGGGTATTTGCCTTGCATATGGCAGACCCACGTTAGATCCCTAGCACCACATGTGAACCCCTAAGACCTATGGGAGTGATTCCCAAGCAGTCGTAAGCCCTGAGCACTGCTGGGTATGGCCCAAAAACACTGACAAAATGTAGTAATGATAAAGACATTACTAAGAATTCCATTGTAAACAATAAGCTAAAGTGAAGGATTAGGGGCCAGAGAAACATTAGAGCAGGTAGAGTACTTGCCTTGCAAGCAGCCGACACAGGTTCAAGCCCCTGAGCACCGTCAGGAATAATTCCTGTAACCCTTGAGCAGCAATGGTTCTGACACCCCACCCAGGTCTCCTCAGCCCCCTTCCCCCAAAAAAGATGAAGGATTAATAAATGTAAGCAGACCTACATGTGTCTGTAGATCAAAATAAGCTCTTCTCTCTTCCATACGTTCCCGGTTTAAGTTGCTATTAAATTCAGCTGCTTTTTTGGCCGCTTTCTTAATGTACTCAGGCACTTTGCTGGCTTCAACTTTCTGAGTATTCTGCTGCTGCATTTGCTAAAATAAAAACAAAATAGTTGAAAGTCCTAACTTTATACGTCATTCTCCCAAAAAGAGTTATCAGTTACCTTGATCACTTACAGAATACTCTTTATAATGATCTGTAATTCGCTGACGTTCTTTTTCTTGTAGAATAACAGAATATTCAGCATGTTTGGCTGGATATTCTTTTATCATTAAATCAATCACTTCATCACTGCGCAATGCTGTTAAACCTAATTAAGACCAAAAAAAGGGTTACAAAAAGGTCCTACGAATGAAACTATTTTCAAATCTGCTTTCCCTTAAGCTTATTCTACATTTAAAAGGTTTTCTAACAGCCAAAATATTTAAAACAGTAAAAATAACAGAAAATAATACTGATACTATAATCCAAACACTTAAAAAAACCAACGAAACTGGAGAGCAAGGGAATGCCCTGGAGAACACCCTTACATGCAGAGGTTCCAGCCCCACCTCCAGCCCACCAGAGCCCTGAGCACTGCAACCTGCGATTGTGGCTCCTACACAGCTCCTGGCTGAGGGTCATCAGGACTGGCCCCAGCGCCACTGAGCAATGGGTGCATCACCAAGAATAGTACTTTTTAAATAAGAAAAATGGAAACTTACAAAGAAATCTATTTAAGCCAATTTTTGTTTACACTCTATATGCCACAAACACAGAACCATTAATTAGAAACAGTTGTCAACAATAACCACAACACTACTAGCTAGGTTCTTGACTAAAATAACAGCATTTTTCAATAAATTACTTTTTTTTTTCTTTTTGGGTCACAGCTGGCAATGCACAGGGATAACTTTTGGCTCTTCACTCAGGAATTACTCCTGGTGGTGCTCAGGGGACCATATGGGATGCTGGAAATTGAACCTGGGTCGGCCGCGTGCAACGCAAACGCCCTACCCCCTGTGCTATCACTCCAGCCCCCTCTATTACAGTTTTTAAGTCTTTGAATTCCATAAACTGAATTATCTTGGGGCTGGAGCGATAGCACAGCGGTAGGGCGTTTGCCTTGCACGCATTCAACATGGCCGACCTGAGTTCGATTCCTCACCCCTCTCGGGGAGCCCGGCAAGCTACGGAGAGTATCTTGCCTACATGGCAGAGCCTGGCAAGCTACCCGTGATGTATTCAATATGCCAAACACAGTAACAACAAAGTCTCACGATGGAGACGTTACTGGGCCCGCTCGAGAAAATTGATGAACATCGGGAGGACAGTGACAGTGAATTATCATGAATAAGCTAAATTCATGAAGGAACCGGCAGATGAACCCAGGTGTACGGGACCCGGGGCTGAGATCTCCAAGCCTGCTCAATTCAGGACTGGACCTCCTCCACCCAGATCCCCCATCTTCCAGTAGCTAAGACAGTTACACCCACCAATTGCCGTGTAACCCCATCAACAGCCAAGCTCCAGAGACTAGAAAACCAAGCTCCCAGGCTCTTATTGTCTAGTTCTCACTCTCAGAGAACACGGCAGGCTATCAAGAGCATCCTGCCCGCATACATGCCTGACTGGGAACATCTGTAAAGGTGATTAGAGGCTGCCCTTAAAGCCTCCATTCCTCTCGGAGAGCCCGACAAGCTACCAAGAGTATCCCACCCGCACGGCAGAGCCTGGCAAGCTATCCATGGCATACTCAATATGCCAAAAAACAGTAACAATGATGGTGCTCATTCCCCTGACCCTGAAAGGGCCCCCAATTTGCCACTGGGCTACACTAGCACGTGACATGAATGAATGTAGACGTTACTGGCGCCCGCTCGAGCAAATCAATGAACAACGGGGTGACAGTGAAGCTAAATTCTACCAAAACAAAGTGCCAGTGCACACAGCTCATATACACTTTTTATTGATTTATTTGGAGTTGCAGTTTCCAGTCCACACCCAGTGAGTTCCCCAGGACCACTCTGTGCCAGAGATACCAACCAAGCTCCTTTCAGTCAACTCCCCAACCCTCATATAGGCACAGCCTAAGACACACTGTATCAGACATGCAAATTGCTAAGATGAAATTCCATAATTTTATATTAAAGTCATAGTTGCATTAAAATTTTGGTAAAAGGAAAATTACAAACATGGCACAAGGATAACCAAACTGGAAATGAGTAAAATTTGTCTTTATTAGATAAGAATCAATATTTTAACGCCATACTTCTTTGTATTTTAACAATAACCAAAAATTAAATAAATACATCTGCATTCAAGTAACTGAATCAATCTATTTGACTAATTTTGTAAAATATTTTTTGGAAAGGAGATACAAGACGATATTCAGACAGTATCACCAAACCAAGTTTCAGCTTGCAAAATTCACATGAAAAGGTTCCATTACCTAGAGTGCACTGAGTCTCAGTGATGACATTTAGTTCTCTCAGATAGAGTTTCTCCTTATGAGACAAATCTCGTCGCTCTAAATCTCCAAACAAAATAAAAACAAAAGACTATTAGAAATAGTGGAACACTAAGCATTTGTAAAACTTTGAAAAACTAAGTAGTTTTTATTAGATTGAATTCATTTGACACATTAATATGGAACATAGCAGCAGTCAAAATAATGAATTATGGAATAAATTTCAACACTAAATGCACAAAAGCATACCGTACAGAAAACTTTCATGGGGCAAGAGCTATAGTGAGAAGGGTACTTGCCTTCTTACACACACCCAACCCAGGTTCAGTCCCTGATCCACCAAACCCCACCAGGAGCGATTCCTGAATGCAGTGCCAGGAGTAAGCCCTTCAGCATCACTGGCTATGGCCCAAAAACAGTTAAATTAAGATGGTCTTTATTTATTTTCTTATTTTCTTATTTTCTTTCCTATCAGTTTATAAGGCATAAGAACAAATGGATAGTACAAAAAGATCAGTAACAGGAAATTAAAATTAGTCAGCAAAAGAACATAAAATATACTGAAAATAATTCATATTCAAATACTGCAAAGTTGACAACCATAAAAAAATTCACTATTGAAAGTCAGATTTAGTCTGTTACATAAAGACTAAATACCTGGATATTTCCGTTTAAAGGAGGTCACACCCAAATATTCACTGACTTGTTCTTGAAGCATATAGTATTCTCCTGTTTCATCAGGTGGCCATTTGTACTCTATCAAATTTTCTGCTGGATAGTAGCTAAAGCTAAGCACAGAAATATACATTATGCCTCAAATGTGGCTTTTATTAAGTCTAACCATTTTTAAGGATTTACTTTTAAGGATATTTATTTTTAAGGACTTTGAAAAGCTATTTCAATTATCTGAATTCTGTCTTCTATGACTCTGCAAGACAACAAAAGCTCCCATGATTTTTAAGTCTATCAAAAAGATTACAAAATAGGTATAAGGTGGCAGAGAACCATCTGGAATACCATAACAGCACAACTTCATTAACCCAAAGTAATCAACTGTTTTTCATCTGCTTTTCAAAGATTTACAAGCTGATGAAAGCAGAATTCTGAAAAATGAATTCAACTCTAAAGATGAGTTCTTTATTCTCAAACACCCCATAACACCAGAATCAAAGAATCAACTAGCTTGCTGGTGCCAGTGTATTGCAGATTAATCCCAACCCTGCACAGCAGAGACTGAATTTCTAGACCTAGCTAATTTCAAAAATTTCAACAATGGACAATAGTGACAGAAACTGGCATTATTTTATGCATCTCTATAATTATTATTAAAAAGCAATTTTCTCTGAGCTGTGGAGATAGTACAGAGGGTACGGCGCTTGCCTTCATGCTGCAGACCAGTTTTGATCCCTGACATCCCACATGGTGCCCCAGGCACTGCCAGGAGTGATTCCCCGAGTGCAGAGTCAGGAGTAAGCCCTTACGCATCACTGGCTGTGGCCCAAAAACAAGAACAAATTTTTTTTCAAAAATGGTACTGGGAAACTGTATACCCAAATGTAATATGACATATCTGAATGTTTATCAGATGTCTCATACAATTCAAAAATTGAATCACGACCTAAATAAACTAAAACTGAGAAACTCGAAATAGAGAAGTGGCCAGAGGGAGAGTAATGCAGTTACTGGTTAGATCCCAGACACCATATATGGTCGCCAGGCATAGCCACAGTTGAGCCCTGAGAAAACCCTGAGAAGAGTTAGGAGTAAGCCTTAAGCACAGCTGGGTGTAGCCAAAAAAAAAAAAGAGGAAAATGTAGAGATAAACCTTCATTAATTTAACAACAGATCCTGAGCAACAACAAGAACAAAATCAAAAATCAATGACCTGGATTTACTGAACAAAAAAGGCCAATAAGTACATGAAGATATTCACTATCACTAGCTCATTATGGAAATTCAAATCAAAATTACAATTAAAGATTTCACATTTTTAGAATAATTTCTTTCAATGGAAAATAACTTTTAAGGATTAAAAAATGGAATCTGCATTCTTGGTGAGGATATAAAATAGTGGATAAGATAAATGTAAAGTTGGGTTGTTCCTCAAAAAATTAGCCATAAGATTATCATGTGATTCAGCAATTACAGTCATAGGCATAGACTCAAGAGAGCTGAAACAGGAATTATGAACAGATATCTGTTCAAAGCAGAAATACAACAACCAAGAGAGAAAACAGTGCCACCCTTCTCCACTCCCTATCCATCACAGATGAGTGGCTAAACAAAATCTGGTATTAACCCAGTGTGGAATACAGGAAAGAGGAAAGAAAGAAAAAAGAAATTCTGATACATATCAAAGCATGTATCTATGAATACTTATGCTAGCTGAAATATACCAGACACAAAAGACAAATAGGTAATATATGATTCTATCTTAGATACACTAAAATAGGCGTAATGAAAAGTCAGGCTTTTGAAGAAGGGCGAAATTCTTTTGTTTTGTTTTGGCTTGTAGGGGCCACAACCAACTCAGTGCTTACTCCTGACTCTGTGCTCTTGGCAGAGTTTAGGAGACCATATGTGGTGCCAGAAACTCTTTTCTATGTTACTTGCTTCTAGCATTTTAGGGATATTTACCAATGTGTCCAAGTATCTTGCCCTTGTGTCAGCTGCGTGTAAGTCAAGCACCATACCTGCTATACTGTTTTACCTGGCCAAAAGGCAAATTCTTGTTGCTTAACAGTTATGGAAATTTTGCATGAAGTAGTAAAAATATTTTAGAAATGAGTGACAGCATAAATTGCACAATGATAAATATAGTTAATGCCACAGAATTAAGCACTTAGAATAGTTAAAATGCAGAATTTTGTGTATGTTTTGCCACATAAAAAGAAAAGTTTTTCATTATACTAGCAAAACCAGTAGTCACTATATAAAACACAATAAAAACTATTCTCTCATTTTAAATGACTACTTTTGCCAAAGCTGCTGCAAAGGGAAGAGTAAACATGCAGAAAAAAGATACACCACCAGAAAAAAAATTAGCAGGTAATCAATAAATCACAGTACCCAAGATCTTGACTTGAAGTTTCACAACTCCTAGAGCTATCGCCTGAGCCCATTCGCCTCCTCTTGGATGGTTGGGTCCCATCATTTGAATTATCTTCATTATCATCCTATTCATTTTAAACGAAATAAATAAAGCGTGAGAAAGAACAAGGAAAAATTGATATCTCCCCAGACTTGCTGAATAGCAACTACTGCAAGTTTTCTAAAAACTAGTTATACAAATGTTAACTTTACATTATATTTGAAAGGGACCAAAATCTGGCCTGAAAAAGACCTGGAGAAAAATGAAAATCTCATCCTCAAAAAACCAAAGAAAATATTTAAGGCAAAGTTTGGCCTGTAAATATTTTACCTATAACATATTAATCTGTTAATTGAAATCTACTTTTGATTTCTCACCAACCAAGATGAAAATGCAAGCTGCTTAAAATAATGTATTTAAGGACCGGAGCAATAGCACAGCGGATGGGGCGTTTGCGTTGCACGCGGCCAACCAGGTTCAATCCCCGGCATCCCATATGGTCCCCTGAGCACTGCCAGTAGTAATTCCTGAGTGCAAAGCCAGGAGTAACCCCTGAGCATTGCTGGGTGTGACCCGAAAAGAAAAAAAAAATGTACAAAGCTGCTGTAATAACTGAAAGCAAACCCTCCTGGGTCAGAGATGTAGCTCAGTGGTAGAGCACTTCCCTTGCATGTGTGAGACCCTGCATTTGCTTTCCAGTACCACCAAATAAACAAAAGTAGGAAAAACAAATACAGCAATCCTTCCTATCCCACCTAGGAAAAATAATGTGTGAATCATGGCTAGCCCAATTTATAGCTGGTTCACAGGACTACTCTAAGTGGCTATTTCACTTATATTCCTGTGATAGGATAGGCATATAAGGTCTACAAACAAGCTACCAATTCTACAATTTTGTTCTTCATTGCAAATAGTGAACTATTAAAGTATTTTCTAATAAGTCTGTAACATATATAAAGGTAAAAAGGTAAAGGCCCTCCCGTTGATCGTCGATTTGCTCGAGCGGGCCCAGTAACGTCTCCATTGGAGACTTTGTTGTTACTGTGTTTGGCATATCGAATACTCTCGGTAGCTTGCCGGGCTCTCCGAGAGGGTCGGAGGAATCGAACTTGGGTCGGCCATGTTGGCCGCTTGTAAGGCGAACGCCCTACCGCTGTGCTAGGAACATATATATATATGATATGTATATATATATATCATATATATATATATATATATAGCACCCTCCCTTGCCAAGGAAGGTTACATTAACCATTATGTGACACTGATAAGAAGTTTGGACCATACCTGTAAAGACATGAATGAGGTAAAAAAAAAAATAATAGAAACTGATTCAGTCACACAACTAGCCAAGCCTTACTAGATGGCTAATGCCAAGCACTGAGACCAGGCCCAGCAAATAACTAAATGCCCAGAGTTAGCTATTACGATTATGATGCCGATTAAAGTGTCAAACAGCCCCAGCTATTAGGAATTTAATCAGACTCTTTCCCAAGAAGTACTACACAGGTAAGGTCTCCTTTTCAATTCTTGTAAAGAACCATTCAACTTAAGTTCTGTATATTCATTCCTATTAAAACAAGCAGTCATGAAAGAGTCTAAATCCATTTTCCCAAACCTACATCTATCAGCACAACTGCAATATTTCAAGTTTCTTACTTCGGACTTAACTCCTTTTAAGCATTCATATACTCTTTCCTACTTTACTTCTAGCATTTTACGGATATTTACCAATGTGTCCAAGTATATTTCCCTTCGGCAAAAAGATAAATAAACCTTTCAGAGACTAAAATGAAAATGCAAAGTTCTTCAAACTTTTTTTTTTTTTTTGCTCTTTGGGTCACCCCAGGCAATGCTCAGGGGTTACTCCTGCTTAGCGTTCAGGAACCACTCCTGGCGGTGCTCCACATGGGATGCTGGGAATCAAGGCAAATGCCCTACCCACTGCGCTATTGCTCCAGCCCCTCTTCAAACTCTTTCATTAGCAGAGTTTTGAATTTGCTTCTGGGGCAAATACTTTGTCGAAAGCAAAAAGTGAGCACTGACCAGCTGACTCTGTCCTAGGAGTAACAGCACCATCTCTTCTAAAGTACCACGGAACACGCAACTGAGCCTAAGAACCTGCTTATGTCCTTGATCCTAAAGCAGAAATAAGTCCAGTCTCGAGCCTGTCAAATGTACCGGGAACTTGCATTCGCGTGACGAGAGGCTCCCGCCGTGGTCTAAAATGTGTCTACGCAGGATGCTAGACGAGCGCTCCCCAGACGCCCCCAGGCCCCGCAGGGCACCTGCCCACCGGGACAGTCGCGGTCTCGCCGGCCGGACTCCGAGGAGACCCACACGGCCCCGAGGGCGCGATGCCAGGCGCCGCGAGGCCCGCCGCCCCCGACCCCCAAGGTCCGCTTCGCGGCTGAGGCGGGCACCGCACCCGGGGAGCCCGCAGGCGCTCGGAGCCCGGCCCCCTTCCCACTCCGCGTCCCGCTCGGGCTCTCCGCGCCCCCGCCGCCGACCCCGAGCTCTGCCCCGCGCCGCTGAGGCAACTTTGCGGCGAGTTCCCGGGCCGGGGCCCGCGGGTCCCTCCCGCCGTCGCCCGCCCGACGCCGAGGCCCCGTCAGCCCGCGGAGCGCGACCCCGAGCCCGACCCGCACGCGCGGGCTCGGCGGCTCCAGAACCGCGCCGAACCGCTCTCGGGCCGCGGGCACAGCGCGTCCGCCGCCCCGCGCGACCCCCGCCTCAGGGTCGCGCGGGGGTCCCGGCTCCGCCCGCCCCCGCCGCCCCCCGCGGGCCTCCCCGGCCGCCCGCCCGCCGCGCAGCCCCGCCCGCCCGCCGCCCGGGCCCGCCCGCCCGCCGCCGGCCGCTCCTCACCTTCGGGGACGGCGCTCCGGGGGTGGCGGGGTCGCTGTCGCACGGGCGCGGGGACAGCGCCGTCCCGGGCCCGGCCGCCGCCGCCATCAGCCCGAGCGGCCCGCGCCGCCGCCGCCGCCGCCGCCGCCGCCTCGTCCCGGCCGCCGCCGCCGCCGCCGCCGCCGCCGTCGCCGCGCGGGCCGCTCCCCGCCGGCCCGGCCCCGCCCCCTCCGCCCGCCCGCCCGGGGGCCGGCCCCTGCCTCCGCGCGCCCCGCGGCCCGCCAGCGCCAGCGCCGCCACCGCCATGGCCGCCAGCGCGCGCCGCCGCTCGTCGGGCCCCGAGCTGCCGCCGCCCGTCAGGCCACGCGCGCCCGGCGCCGCTCGTCGGGCCCCGCCGCCGCCGCCCCTCAGACCCCGAGCCCCCGCCGCCGCCGCCGCGCTCCCCAGGCCCCGCCGCTCTGGCCGCCGCCGCCGCGCTCCTCAGGCCCCGCGTTCCCTCAGGCCCCGCCGCTCCCTCAGGCCCCGCGCTCGTCGGGCCCCGCGCTCCCGCCGCCGCCCCTCAGGCCCTGAGCTCCCGCCGCCGCCGCCGCCGCGCTCCTCAGGCCCCGCCGCCCCCTCAGGCCCTGCGCTTCCTCAGGCCCCACCACGCCCGCCGCCGCCGCCGCCGCCGCCGCTCCCTCAGGCCCCGCCGCTCCCTCAGGCCCCGCGCTCGTCGGGCCCCGCGCTCCCGCCGCCGCCCCTCAGGCCCTGAGCTCCCGCCGCCGCCGCCGCCGCGCTCCTCAGGCCCCGCCGCCCCCTCAGGCCCTGCGCTTCCTCAGGCCCCACCACGCCCGCCGCCGCCGCCGCCGCCGCCGCTCCCTCAGGCCCCGCCGCTCCCTCAGGCCCCGCCGCCGCCGCGCTGCCCCGGCCCCGCCGCTCCGTCACCTCAGGCCCCGCCGCCGCCCCGGCCACCCCTCCGCCCCGCTTCCGCCGCCGCCGGGCCGCCCCCCTCACCCCGCCTCGGCGCCCGAGCCCCCCGCTCCGCCCGGCCCGCGGCGGCTCCTCCCGCCGCACGCTCCGCAGCCCCGGCCGCGCCGCGCTCCGCTCGGGCCCCACCTCCCGCCGCGCCCCCCGCCCGGCCCCGCCCCGCGCCCCCCGCCCGGCCCCGCGCGTCACTCGGCGCCGCGCCCGGGGGTCCCTCCCCTGACCCTCCCTCCGGCCGCAGCCCCCGTCCTTTGTTCCGCGGCCCGCGCGCGCCGCACCTGGGCCCGGGCCCCGACCCACCTGCCGACGCCCGAGCCCGGCCTCCGGCGCTGGCGGGCAGGCCCGAGACGCGGGTCGTGGGGGCTGCTCGGCCCAACCGAACGTGCTTTTATTCCACGTGGCAGGACTCGCCTGACACGGTCAGTGGGTCGACCTTGGAGCGAGGCCCGGCGGGTGGTCGGCTACCCACCCCTTATTTGCCGCCGTGTGACAGCGGGGCTGGGCCTGCGGGAGGAGGCTCCACGGCAGAAGGCTTCACCTCGCTTGAGTACTTGTGCTCACACCCCTCAGATACCCTGGGCAAGACCCGGGACCGGCTGCTCTCCATCGCACTATCCTTCAGGGCCCGCTCTGCCAGCATGCCCCAGTGGCTCCCACCGGGCGTGCTCTTGAGCTCTGCTGCTCAGGCTCCTCCTGACGCACCAGCGTTCTGTCTGAGCCCGCCAAGAAGCCTCACATCTCTCCCCCAATGTCTCTTAGCTGGTTGGAATGAAGATCAATTCATTTTGGTTAGAACACTTAAAAATGGTTATTCATTCCATTATTGAGTTCTCCCTTCTCCCTTGAGTATTCTCTCAATCAAATACAATGGAAAACACTTCCTTCCAAGTCAACAAAGCACTGATTCAGCCTTTCAAGGAAGAAAATAAGTAGCAGTACTTAGATTACAGTATCTGTTACACAGCTATAGACAAAGGCAGTTTAGCAGGGAACGTTTACTTGTACTAGGGAAAAGAGCAAATTTAGTTCAACACAGAACTGGAAAGTATCTTGAGAATGGTAGGACGACTACAGGTAGATGTAAACTGGGAAGTGGAAATTGGGTTTCAAGTATGAGACAAGATTAGGCTGAGGTGAGGAAAAAGGCATTTACAGGTACATAAGAAGATTGGAGGAGTTAAGAATGAAATACACAAAAGGCAACATAAAATGATGCTGAGACTGAAGACTAAGAACAACAGTTTAGTCTCAATCTTGGGGCTGGAGAAATAGCTAGAAAGCAGATCCAGCACTTGCCTTGCATGAAGCTGCCTTGGGTTCAGTGCCTGGCATCACATATGGTCCCCTGAGCCAGCCAAGAGTAATAGTAAGCCCTGAGCACAGCCAGGTATGGCCCCGCTCTCCAAAAAAAAAAAAAAAAAAAAAAGTCTGGAGGTAATATATAAAGGTAAAGGCCCTCCGTTGATCGTTGATTTGCTCGAGCGGGCCCAGTCTCCATTGGAGACTTTGTTGTTACTGTGTCTGGCATATCAAATACTCTCGGTAGCTTGCCGGGCTCTCCGAGAGGGGCGGAGGAATCGAACTCGGGTCGGCCATGTTGGCCTCTTGTAAGGCGAACGCCCTACTGCTGTATATGACTATTGAACTGAAACAGCAAGAATATCTGAAGGTTGGAAGATGGGGAAGAGAAATGCAAAGCTAAAGGTAATTCTGAGATGTCAAACAAAATAACAATAAGTTAACATTTTAGAACTTGTATGCTACAAGTTTGCTCTAAGAGCTTTATACTAACCTTAGGAAGAGAGTATAATTCTCTCCTTACTGACAGTTACATGCTACAGAGTCTGTAATTCAATACATTTATACAGGCAAGTTCATCAGAGAGACCTATTACTTAACTACTACTGTCACAGTTTCGTTATTATGTTTTTTTTCCGTTGCCAGTGTTAGCAACTTTTCATATTCCTCCATTTTGAAGTCTTTGGGTCACAACTTTTATGCTTTTGCCAATGTGGCATGGAACTATTAGATCTGAATTATCCACTCATTCTGCTTAAATGAAATGACTTTCTAAGAATAATTCTGATTAAGCTTTTGTACACTTGGCCCAATTCCACATGGAGCAAGAGTCTTGGTTCATCTCCTTAACTTCCAAAAACAAAAATGACAGGGATGGGGTGATGGCTCAAAAGCCAGGACACATGCAAAAGCTGTTGGAGCAATCCTCAGAACCTCATGACTTCCTCACCAAAAACTGCTGAAGTACACAACCCCCCAGGAAAAAAATGGAAACGGTAACATCAGCTCCTTATAACACATCTTTTTTCTGTTTGTAGGTTATTCAACAAATGGGCATTTTTGAAATCTCTGATAATTTTAATATGGTTTTCTCTTTTATTTGTTTTTGAACCACACCTGGAGGTGCTCAGTGCTTATTCCTGCCTATAGTTCAGGTTATCACTACCGGTGGGGCTCAGGTGACCCTATGTGGTTCTGAGATAAAATTTGGGTAGGTGACATGCAAGGCATGTGTCTTACCCACTGTACCACTTCTCCAGCCCAAAGGAGTTTTCAGTCTCTGGTTAGCACTGTAGCACTGTCCTCCCGTTGTTCATCAATTTGCTCAAGCGGGCCCAGTAACGTCTCCATTGTGAGACATGTTGTTACTGTGTTTGACATATCAAATACATCACGGGGAGCTTTCCAGGCTTTGCCGTGTGGGCGGGATACTCTTGGTGGCTTGCCAGGCTCTCCGAGAGGGGTGGAGGAATCAAACTCAGGCCAACCATATCGGCCGTGTGCAAGGCAAATGCCTTACCCGCTGTGCTATTGCTCCAACCCAGTCTCTGGTTATTACTGTGAAAATCTTATAGATAATCACAGATGATATCAATTGTCTTCCAATGATATTCTTCTAAAACTCGACTAAATGTTTTATGGAATCATAAAATTCTTCAGATAACCAAAGTTTTCCCAAGAAAATAGAAGTTGAGAGGTATCACATTTCCTGACTCTAACTTATACTGTACAGAGCTATAGTAATTAAAATGGTGTGGATGGTAATAGAGATGGTCCCTCAGACCAACACAAAATAAGCTCTCATATTTGTGGACAGTTATTCTATAACAAGGGATCTAAGTGCATGAAGAGAAGCAAAAATAATCTCTTCAACTAATAGTGGGAAAACAGTGTAGATATGTGCAAAAAAGAGAATATTGGATTCATATTTCACATACACAAAAATTCAAAATGCATTAAAGATCACAAGATTATGAGTCAGAGTGATGGTACAGCAGACAGGGCACTTGTCTTGCATGCTGCCAACTTGGGTTCAATTCCCCGGCATCCCATAGGGTCCCTAGAGGCTTGCTGAAAGTGATCCCTGAGCACAAAGCCAATGATATGCCTTGAACACCACCAAATATGGTCATAATCCAAAAACAAGAGATTTTTCAAAAATTCAAGATTAGAGCAGAATCCATAAAATACACAGGAAAATATCAGTGGGTAGGGCCTTGCACATGGTCAACCTGGCTGACCTGAGTTTGATTCCTCTGCCCCTCTTGGAGAGCCCAGCAAGCTACTAAGAGTATCTTGCCCGCATGGCTAAGTCTGGCAAGCTACCCCTGACATATTCAATATGCCAAACACAGTAACAACAAGTCTCACAATAGAGATGTTACTGGGTCTGCTCAAGCAAATCTATGAACAATGGGAAGACAGTGCTACAGTGCTACTTTTATAATAAAATAGAATCCAGAAAAATTGGGCTGGAGTGATAGCACAGCAGGAAGGGCATTTTCCTTGCACGTGGTCAATCCGGGTTCGATTCCTTCATCCCTCTCAGAGAGCGCAGCAAGCTACCAAGAGTATCCCACCTGCACAGCAGAGCCTGGCAAGCTCCCCGTGGCATATTAAATATGCCCAAAAAAGTAACAACAAGTCTCACAATGGAGACATTACTGGTGCCTACTCGAGCAAATCGAGGGCTACAGTGCTACAATAAACTAGAAGACAGGCCCTTTAATACATGTTAATGTTATATAACATATACAGATATATTGCTATGTATATACTTTGGCACATACACATATCTTTGGGACAAATAAAAATTGTCTTGGGGGCCACACCCAGCAATGCTCAGGGCCGACTCCTGGCTCTGTGCTCAGGGATCACTCCTGGTGAGGCTTGGGGGAACCACATACAGTCCTGTAGATTGAACCCTGGTCAGCCACGTGCAAGGTAAGCACCGCTGTACTATCACTCCAAACCCCAAACAAAATTTTCATTAAATTCTAACAACACACATAAAAAGTTCTCCATAATCTATACTGACATTTAATTTGGCAACTTACCAGTTTGTGTCATAATTTCATGTGGCAATTTTTAATTTTCTTAGATATAAGTGCACTGTAGCACTGTCCTTCCATTGTTCATCGATTTGCTTGAATGGGCACAGTAACGTCTCCCTCATGAGACTTGTTGTTACTGTGTCTGGCATACTGAACACGTCATGGGTAGCTTGGCAGACTTTGCCGTGCGGGAGAGATACTCTCAGTAGCTTGCCAGGCTCTCCGAGAGGGGCAGAAGAATCAAATTCTGGTTGGGTTAGCCGCGTGGGCCACATGCAAGGCAAACGCCCTACCCGCTGTGCTATCGCTCCAGTCCTTAGATATAACAAGAATGATAAATATTTTTCCCATACTATAATCCACTATCAGCATTCATATACTTTGGGCTAACAGACTGTTAACAAATATATTAACTAGTAAGTGTTAAGGTAAATAAAAGCTTTTACTTGTTTGTTGTTAACAAAATACAATTAAAAGTTTCAATAAGAAAAAATTGAGCCTCAAAATCCATAAATTCCATGTTTTGGGGAGATGCTCAGAATGAAACGCTCTTTAGTACACATCAAGCTATTCACAATAAAGAGCAAATACCAAGACCAACGCCACGTAACCTTCAGTTTCATGCTTGGCAGCAACCCAGCTATCCCAAGCAACATCCCATATCCATCTGCTGGCAATCTATAAGAGAAAATTTCAAAGACCAACTTTAGTTGTGCATGTTAATATGTAATTTTTAAATAAATGCAAGGTTGGTTTAAAAAAAAAAAAGATTCATTAGTATCTAAAAAAGCTTTTTTTTTGTCCAATTTGCCCCTTCCCTAAAAAGACTGAATAGTGATGCTTTCTGATCCTTCTCTTTTCCTGGAGATGGTGGTTTCTGATGCAGAGATCTTAGCAGATCTAGGGACACGAACAGATCTTTTGTAATTTATATTCAGTAGTTCTGTTTTAGCCCCTGATAACTCTCCTTTTTTTTGGTTTTTGTCTTTGGGTCATACCCATAAGTGCTCAGGGCCTACGCCTGGCTCTGTGCTCAGGGGTCACTCCTGACAGAGTTTGGGGGACCATATGGGGCGCCAGGGATCAAACACAGGTTGGCCACGTGAAGCTAAGTGCCTTACCCACTGTACTCTCTCAGTCTCCTAAAGAGCTCTTCTTGCAACGCTTGCAGCCAGGGAGAGAATGTGGCTCAAAGGGAAAGAATATGTGATTTGTACGAGAGAGCCTCCAGGTTGATCCCTGGTATCACATGGCCTCCTAAGCACCACAGGTTAGAGATAAAAGCCAAATAAAGAAAAGAGAAATTATTACCTGAAAGTCTGTTATGACCTTATTTTGTTATGAAGAAATGGCAGGAACTAGAGAGATAATATAATGGGGAGGGTTAGTATAATAGGCCTTCCACATGGCCAACCTGGGGTCAATCCCTGGCACCCCTGAAAATTGCCAGGAGTAACCCCTGAGCAACACCGGGTTGCCCGCCCCTCCAGAAAAAAAAAAGAAATGGCATTCACTTATATAGGAAAGCTGTTAGCCCATGCTAACACCTGGTTTCATTTCTAAAACATGATCTGATTACAGCCTACTTTTCTGTGTGAGCTCTAAAATGGTCACGAGATCTTTGCTGACTTTTTCCTCTAGAAGGCTGAGTCCATTTTCACCTCTTGACTATTTGTTTGCCTTGGTTATTGCCTTGAGAAATAGAATGTGACACTGTGCAGCTTGCTTATGTGCAGGAGACACTGGGTATCCTGTCCTCAGTCATACCAATCGACAGACACAACATGAGAAACCAGCTTGGATCTCCAGGTCAACCAAGTCACCAGAGCTGCCAGAACATCACTGAGACTAATAGAAACACTGAACAGCTAGCTGAAGTGGGGTGCCCCAAAAAATTGTGAGCAAATCCACAGATACTGTTTTATACTACTAAATTTTCCTGATATTTTAACTGGGGATGATGAAATCTACTTGCTTAAGTTGCTATAGGATTTATTTTATTTATTCATTTATTTTAGTTTTGGCAATCCAGCAATGCTCTAGGATTACTCCTGGCTCTGTGCTCAGGCATCACGCCTGAATCACTCTTGGGGGACCATATGGGATGCCGGGGATTGAACCCAGGGCCGCTGTATGCAAGGCACACACCCTCCCTGCTGTGCTATTGCTCCAGCCCCTGCTATAAGGATTTTGTGAGATTACCAGCATTTTTGACTACAGAGTTTCACTAAACAGTAAGATCCTGCTTATTAAAACGAGGCTACGGCTAAGTTCTTGCCTAGCAAGTGAAGAGTGATTGTGTGGCAGTGCATTCTGCAGAGACCACTTGGAGGAGAGCACCAGACAGAGGGTTGGGAGGAAAACAGGCAAAGGAGCTGAACATGCAACAGTCATTAAGTCAAAGGGTGTCTTGGCTCTAGGAAGCAGAGAATTGCCACCTCTCTGCACACATACTCTGGAACTGGACACTTCCAGAGGCTAACAAATCTCTGAGAAAAAAAAATAAGCTATGGGAATGGGCTGGCATGACAGAGTGACTACCAGGAATTGATGGACATTGGTTCAGGAGGGAACCAGCCAAAGAGCAAGGAAAACAATGTTCAAAGCAGAGAAAACATGGAGTGCAGAATCCTAAGGCAGGGTTGACCTTGGTTGCTTCAGTTACCTGGCTGCTGTCTTTCCAGGTAGCTATGTGTGTCAGACTCAGGATCTGCCATCATACCGTGCATGATTTTCTCTCAGACCCTACACTGCATTACTTTGTTTCTTCATCTAAAGTAAAAGCTTCTTGTACTAAAATGCTTCAATGCTCAAAGTAAATCTGCTGGTAATTAGACTGAACCAGGTCTTACATACACAAGGCATGCACTTCATTCACCACTGTGCCACATCCCTGTACCCTGTATTGGTTAATTATTAAGTGATGTTGAATTGTAAAATGGGTATGATCAACAACAAAACAGTCACATAATTTAATAAATTTCTATTACAAAATTTCCATTTCAAAGTACTTTTCAAATAATTTACAATGAAAGAAAATAGATTTAATAAAATTGTTTTCTCACTGATGAGGACTCAAGCTTGCCAAGCACTTTGTTTTTTTTTAATTTTCCAGCATCTTTAATAAACTAATTTTATGTAAAGAGTGGTATTTCTTTTTTTTTTTTTGCTTTTGTTAATTTTTTTCTTTTTTCTTTTTTTTCCACTTTTGTTTTGTTTTGTTTTTTGGGTCACACCTGGTGATGCACAGGGGTTATTCCTGGCTCTGCACTCAGGAGTTACTCCTGGCGGTGCTCAGGGGACCATATGGGATGCTGGGAATCGAACCCGGGTCAGCCGCGTGCAAGGCAAACGCCCTACCTGCTGTGCTATCTCTCCAGCCCCTTTTTCACTTTTTTTAAACTTTTTTATTTTTATTAGTGAAACACCATGAGGTACAGTTGTAGACTTACAAATTTTTGTGTGCCAAGCACTTTGGAGGCATCACAAAGAACATTAAATCAGCAGTGAGGAGAGATCTTACTATTCTAATTTATAGATGATGGATTTATGGAACACTTACATTTATTGCCTGACCAGTTTTTTGAATTAATAATATTTTTATAATGATCTTGTAACGGTGGTACCCAAATTCTTTGACAGCTGATAATACTTGGTCTGCTAACTCAAGTGACAAATGAGAGAAGAGCTTATCATCATATTTGACATCTTTTAGAGCAGCCTTTAAAAAAACATAAAAACATTTAAATTTTCAAATGAAATACTTTTCTAAATAAAAATTAAAGTAGACAATGTGTCAAAAAAAACACGTTAACTTAAAAATACACATATTCCTAATCTAATGATGTTGAATTTCCCATTTATTTCAGTAGCAATGAAGAAATTTTGATTTTGAAGAAAATTTGGTCTGGTTATGATGTTCAACTAGACTTCATTACCAATCCTCAAACTATACACTTTTCTTTTATTTGATTATCAAAAAGCTATTAGGGAGCCACAAAAGAAAAATTTTTAGAAAGCATCTGGGAATTCTTCGAGAAATAATTTTTAAAGTATATATTTAATAAATTTCGTAGTTGGGCTTTCCTAAAGTGAGAGTAATGTTATCCCTTGTTTCTTCAGTCTCCTGGAATTAGAACCCACTTCTTTCTAACCCTTCCCCATGGCCCACTCTCTCCTGCTTTTTCTGAGGTTTCCTAGAAAGTGCCAGGAAATCTAAAGGTTCTCAGCACATGTGTCAGTAAATTCATAGATCGCTGGGGCGAGGGAGGGAGGTGCAGGAATCTGTCTATAGCATAAAACATAAAGTGTAGCACATAGCATTATGTTTTCTTAGACACTAAAGAGACTGGGAGTACCTAGTGAAAAAAAAGTCACAGGATTTCAACGGACTCAGGCTAATACTAAATTAACCAATGCTCTGAGTTGCAGTGGTAACTGACAGGCTGACCAAGTGTGGAAGGGAAAAACAGGAAACTAGCAGTATTAAGTACCAGAAAAAGCCACAGACACCACGGTTACCTAGGAAAGGTTGCCCTGAAGACCCAGCACACCAAATTCCGAATCTCCATATTTGGTTGCCACCTCTGGAAGGATGGATAATATCCAGACCCACACATTGACCAAGGCTCCTTGAAGATAAGCATAGGATCCAGCCTGCATTTCTTATACATGGATCACTCCTGACCCCCAAAATGTATACTTTCCAACTCATGTCTTTTTTGGATGGGGGTTTGGTGGTACAAGACAGCATTCAGGAGCTAATCTGGTTTAATGCTCAAGGAGTTGCTTCTGGCAGTGCTTGGGGGACCCTGAAGTGCAAGGCATTGAGTCAGAGCATCCAGAACGGAATGCATGCACTCTAGTCCAAAGGACTATCTTCCCAGCCCAAAGTTACCCACAGCATGTCTGTCCTTCCTCCCTCTTCCTCCTTCCTTCCGGCTTTCCTTCCTCCCTCCATTCAATCTCTTCCTACATCCCTCATTCCTCCCTTCCTTTATCCTTCCTTTGCTTCATTCCTTCTTTTTCTTCGCTCCCCTCCCTACTTCCCTCCTACTTCTTCCTTTCTCTCTCCTTTCCCTTTATTTTTTCTTCTCCTTACCTCCCTTTTTCATCTTCCTTCCTTCCTTCTTTCCTTTCCTTCCCTCCTCCCTCCCTCCCTTTCTTCCTTCCTTCTTTTCTTCCTTTCTTTTCTTTCTTGTTAGAAATTGAATTCAGGGTCTCACACATGAAAAGCCAAGTGCTCAGATACTAAGCTTCAACCTCATCCCTAGAACTTTTATCTTTACCAAGGGATATTATATCAAGAAATACTGATTTTAAAAGATTGCTCCATTTTAAAATAAGTAATTCACTCTATTAGATGCATCTTACATCCCATATAGAAGATCACTTGTCACCTTCTCTCAGGAGGGGTTGGTGGCAGCAGATGATCTGAACTCCCCAAGGCACAATTCCCTGCTTGTCTTTACTTTCCATTGAAAATGAAGCCATGTGATATCCTTGATGAGCACTGATGCGAAGATCCTCAACAAAATATTCACTGTATCACTGTCATCCTGTTGTTCATCGATTTACTCAAGTGGGTGCCAGTAACTTCTCCATTCGTCCCAACCCTGAGATTTTAGCAGCCTCTCCATACTAGTCTTTCCCAATGCTGCCGTATTGGAGGCTCTTTCAAGGTTAGGGGAATGAAACCCGTTATTGTTACTGTTCTTGGCATATCGAATATACCACAGGTAGTTTGCCAGGGTCTGCCATGCTGGCAGGATACTCTTGGTACCTTGCCGGGTTCTCTGAGAGGCATATATATATGCGCACACACACACACATATTTCCCTCTATGATTTGTTGCCTACTGTCTGAACCCCATCAAGTATGGTGTGGTAATTATGGAAAATGGGTAGGGAGTGTCTTATGATGTGTCGTGGTCCAGGAATATGTTCAGGAATATGTCCAGGAATATGTGTGGAAAGTAGCCTGGAGCGTGGCGGCGGTTGGGTAGTGGAGGTCAGGTGCCGGGGCTGGGTCACTTGGGGCGGGGAGGACTCTCACCCCCAGAGTGTTCCAAGTGAAAACAGCCTGACACAGAGTCCAGTGGAATGGTTATGGGGGCCTCATTTTATGCTCCCTTCTGGGAGAAGCAGCCAAATATTAGCAAATAGAATCCAGCAATTCATCAAAAAGATCATACACCACAACCAAGTGAGACTCATCCCAGGGATGCAAGGATGGTTTAACATTTGCAAGTCAATTAATATACTCCATCATATCAATAAAAGTTCTGATCCTAGCGTTAATAAGTTCTGATAGGGCTGGAGTGATAGCACAGCGGTAGGGCGTTTGACTTACAAGCGGTCAACGTGGCCGACCCGAGTTCAATTCCTCCGCCCCTCTGGGAGAGCCCGGCAAGCTACCGAGAGTATCTCGCCCGCAGGGCAGAGCCTGGCAAGCTACCTGTGACGATTCGATATGCCAAACACAGTAACAACAAGTCTCATGATGGAGACGTTATTGGGCCTGCTCGAGCAAATCGACGAACAACGGGAGGATCGTGACCATGATTCCATCAATAAAAGAAAAGATAAAAACCATATAATCATATCAATTAGATGCAGAGAAAGCATTTGACAAGATCCAGTACCGTTTATATGAAAACTCTCACCAAAATAGTCAAAGCCATCTACCACAAGCCTATGGAAAGCATTATCCTCAGTGAGGAAAAATTAAGAACCTTCCCTCTAAGATCAGGGACAAGACAAGAATGCCCACTCTCACCACTACTATTCAATATAGTAGTGGAAGTACTTGCCATAGCAGTTAGGCAAGAAAAAGACATTAAGGGCATCCAAATAGGAAAGGAAAAATAAAACTCTCACTATTTGCAGATGACATGATACTATACTAAACCCTAAAACCTCTACCAAGAAACTCCTAGAAACAATAAACTGGTATAGTAAAGTCGCAGGCAAAAGTCTATGGCTTTCCTCAAAAGCCCATGGCAAAGAATGAGAGAGAAGAAAGTGATATGAAAAAGGCAATCCCATTCACAGCCATGCCTCAGAAAATCAAGTACCTCAGAATCAGTTTAACTAAGGAGGTAAAGGACCTGTACAAGAAAAACTACAAAACCCTACTTCAAGAAATAAGAGAGAACACGAGGAAATGGAAACACATGCCTGCTCATGGATTGGGAGAATTAACATTGTCAAAATGGCAATACTTCCCAAAACATTATACAGATTCAATGCAATTCCTATAAGGGTACTCATGACATTGTTCAAAGAAATTGATCAAACACTCCTGAAATTCACATGGAGCAACAAGCCCCCACGAATAGCTAAAGCAATTCTGGGGGGGGGGGGGGGAGATGGGGGCATCACATTCCCCAAGTTCAAACTGTACTACAAAGCAGTAATAATTAAAACAACATGGTACTGGAACAAAAACAGACCCGCAGACCAGTGGAATAGGGTTGAACATCCTCAAAGATATGAGCATATAATCTTTGATAAGGGAGAAAGAGATGTGAAGTGGATCCAAGAAAGCCTCTTTAACAAATGGTGCTGGCAAAACTGTATGGCTACATACAAAAAACTGGGCTCAGCCCTCTACCTTAACACCATTCACAAAAGTCAGATTAAAATAGATTAAAGAGCTCAACATCAGATCTGAATCCATAAGGTACATTGAAGAAAAGGTATGCAAAACCCTCTATGACATTGAAGCTAAAGGTATCTTCAAGGATGAAACACGATTGATCAAACAAGTGGAAACAGAGATAAACAAATGGGTTATCTGAAAGTAAGAAGTTTCTGCACCTCAAAAGAAACAGTGACCAGAATACAAAGACAGTCTACAGAATGGGAAAGGATATTCACCCAATACCCTTCCAAGAAGGGGTTAATACCTAGACTATACAAAGCACTGGTTGAACTCTACAAGAAGAAAACACCCAATCTCATCAGAAAATGGGGAGATGAATTGAACAGAAACTTTATCAAAGAAGAAATCTGAATGGCCAAAAGGCACATGAAAAAATGCTCTTCATAACTAATAATCAGGGAGATGCAGATCAAAACAACTATGAGATATCATCTCACACCACAGAGACTGACACACATCCAAAAGAACAAAAACAACTGGTGTTGGCGTGGATGTGGGGAGAAATCCTTCATTGCTGGTGGGAATGCCGACTCGTCGAGCCTTTTTGGAAAACAATATGGATGTTTCTCCAAAAACTAAAAATCAAGTTCCCATTTGACTCAGCAATACCACTTCTGGGAATATATCCCAGAGATGCAAAAATGTAAAGTAGAAATGACATCTGCACTTGTATGTTTATGGCAGCACTATTTACAATAGCCAGAATCTGGAAAAAAAAATCCTGAGTGCCCGAGAACAGGTGCCTGAGAATAGATGAACGGTTAAAGAAACTTTAGTACATCTACACAATGGAATACTATGCAGCTGTTAGAAAAAATGAAATCATGAAAATTGCATATAACTGGATGGACATGGAAAGTATCATGCTAAGTGAAATGAGTCAGAAAGAGAGGGACAGACATAGAAGGACTGCACTCATTTGTGGAATATAAAGTAACAAAATAGGAGACTAATACCCAAGTACAATAGAAATAAGGGTCAAGAGGATTGCCCCACACCTTGGAAGCCAATCTCATGCAATGGGGTAAAAGGTAGCTGGGATGGAAAAAGGAACAC